AGACCCACATCAATCCAAATGGAAACATTTGGTTCTATCTTCTCTTATGTACCTGCCACAGAAATAATAATTGCATCTATGGATTTGTTATTTTCCCATCACATAGACATATTGCACACCCCACCCACGATCTAATAGGACAGACATCACAATCCCTGCCACACGGTTTAAGTTGTGCAACTCATGTTTAGGCTTAATTAAAATATTGGGCTTGTCCCATTGCAAATATAATAAAAATTAGGCTTAGTTATTAAGCTGTGGGTAAGTGTTAATGTATCTCTTGGATATAATACTGGAACACAAGGGTCTTCATGAAACTAATACCATTACTATGCAGAAGGATTGAACTATCACTTGCCAAATGGATGAAGAGACTTTCAGACTTTTTCCAAGTGTAGAACCTCACACCTTGCAGAGAGTTGATTACTTCACATCCATATAGTAAAATCATTTTCACATTGCTATGCTATTCATTCTACCCTTCTGCCATCTGACCTCTGTGGTGGTCCCAGCTTCAAAAGATGTAACCCATTTTGACCTCTACAATAACATCTCTGCCATTTACTACACAAATTACATTAAAGGACAATATTCCATAGTGTAATAATAAATTATGCACATTTGCCGTGACACCTTTGCTCTCCCCTAAAGGGCAGCACTCTATTTTCTCTTCCATCTCTGCTTTAGTTCTACTTGTTTGATTGCTACCTCCTGTCCTGTTGTGTTTTACTCCCCACCTCCTATACACTGTAAGCTAGTTCTAGCAGGGCCCTCTTCAACCTATTGTTTCTATAAGTTTTTGTAATTGTCTCATTTATTGTTAAATCTCACCCTTTGATAATATTGTAAAGTGCTGTGAAACATGCTGGCGCTAAATAAATACCAGTAATAATAATAATATATAATATATATTTAGCCATCTTTAACTGACAACGAGGCCAAATGGGGGTCATGTATGTTCCTGGAGAGCTTAAACTTATCTTAATTGCCCTCAATATACAAAAGATCTGGAGATACAAAAAACTGCTCAAAAGAAAACTTCACAGACACCTGAAATGATTGCAGACGCTTTGATCATTTTCCTTCACAAACAGTTTTATCCTATCAGGAGTGCCCAAAAGGTAAGATACTTTTTGTGTTTTAAAACTACAGCTTCCATTATGCTTTGTCAATATAAAGAAATGCTAAAGACATGCAAAACATCATGTTAGGAGGAGTTGTTTTTTTTTTTTTTACATCATTTGGGGATCCACCTTTTGGGCAGCCTAGGTCTATGTATTTGTTTTTATTTCTTTTATATAAACTATGTATAAATATGTGTGAGCTTAACCCAACCAATATGCCTGATGAAGGGACCTTAGTGTCCTGAAAGCTAGCTGAATATTACTCTACATTAGCCAATGAAGGTGGTGTTATCTTAGTGAGAGACAAATTAATTTGAATATGAATGGAATAATACATGACGCAGAAGAGAAGAAAATAAAATAAGAAAAAAATAAAATTGTAACTGAAATGAGCAGAGTGGACAAAAAAAAAAAAAAAAGCTTACAATGGAAAGGAGCCTAGCTCACTGTCCAATAGTACATTATTTTACATAGTGGAATGGAGGCTCAAGAAGAGATTGCATCTCTATCTTAGTTGGGCATTGCCTCTTTTGAATGAAGGGCCATATTCCCCTCTAATCTTTTGGAGACACTAGTATCTTTCTATACAACACAGAGGGATATGATCCAATTTTGGTCAGTTGGGGAGAACCCTATTTTAGTGTGGATGTTTCACACACATGACATGGTAAAAATGGCAATCACATGTCAAGTATGTTTACAGCATGGGGAGATAAAAACAATATAACACACTCTCACTGCCATTCTTTTCAGGGTTTTAAAAGTCTGACTTTTAGAGATGCTCAGATCCATGAAAGTAACTTTAGACATTCAGTACAGGGGGTCACATGCCAAAGTATCTGTAAGTATCCACAATGGCAGAATTCCTCATTTTGCTAATAAGTGGTTTGGTGTCAGTATAGGTTGATTGTATGTCATATGCTAAACGATTTTGGACAAGGCTAAGATAATGCTCAAATTATTAGAGCGCTACTTCATCCACAAATATAGTATGTCCCATTCCTGTGCATTTAATGTATTTCTTCATTTTCACTGAAAACATTACAGAATCGTAACGTTTGCTTTTTTTAGGGAAAAATGTTTAATGTGAGATTATAGAGTGTATTTTCATTTATAATATATATATATATATATTATTATTATTTTTTTTTTTTTTCAAATGTGGCATTTTTCATATAAATAGAATGGCGTTGATTTCAACAGACTATATATGTATTCACTATATATGTATCATTACAAATAATAGCATCAACCAGACAAATAAAGTCAAAAATAACTAAAGAAGTTAGAAGAGGAAAATAATGATCTTTCTATTACATTCTGTTTCTCTCAAAACTGACACCTTGAAAAGAGAGCCGAAGAAACATGAATTTCAAACTTAGATCTGGCAAATTAAATTAACCAAACAAATTAAATTAATTACAATCTAATAAATTAACCGACTCCGTGCGGAGGTATATAATATGCAAAACACTTTTATAGCTCACAACTGCTTGTTTTACTGAGCATCAACTTACCTCCAACATCCAGATCAACCTTGTAATTGATGAAGTGTGTGTGGATCGTTCCCAGTGTGTTGGGGCCCACTCGATTGCCATAATTTGTCCCTCCTTCCATATAGAATGAAGTGCTGATGTATCCTGTAGCATGGACCTTTGATTCAATAGCCCCATTTTGATAGAAAATGAAATCAAACACATAGTCATAATTACCCAGGGTCGCAATGCTTCTTACCACCAAAACTGTGTTGGTCAAGCCACCATAGTAAAAGGAACCCAGGCTTGAGAAATGCCGCCTCAGTGGAAGACCCGAGTTGAACTCGAAGATACAAATAGAATCTTTGTTGCGGATCCACGAGTCTGAATCTAAGAGATAAAATGTGTCAACGTAACTAGCAGAATAAGGACAGTCAATGCCGCGCACCAGCTGGAACATGAAACGTCCAATCCCAAAACTTCCATCCATGTATCTTGTTAACATTCCTCCAGGAGCATTTGATCCATAAACCGAGATGGCTTCTTGAACGCTAAGTTCATAGACTATTCTCTCGTCTTTAAACCTGATATCATACAGTCTAAGTCCTGAGTTAGCATCAGCCCCAAATGCAAGACTCCAATGTTGGAACAAAATGTTGTTGTTTTTGACACTGTAACGTGGTCCTTGCGGCTCGTACTGCCTGGGGATATCAGAGACTGAGCTTTTAGGTGGTTTCAGAGACGCAAAGTCATCTTTAAGCAGTGGCTTCCTCATTTTCACTACAGTCAGAGTGCCAGCCAGGTATTGTGTTTCCAATTCTTCCATGCCCTCAAAAAAACGCCCATTATAAAATACCTTTTCCACGGACCACTTTTTGACATCAAGGTTTTTGTGATTCACCAGGATTTCCAGTCCTACTGGGTGCAAATAAAAACCACTGCCTTGATTATTAAAGAAAACAACAAACCAGGTATTTCTGTCTCCAGACTTGTAGCCACGTGGGGCACTGGTCAAAAAAGAAAAGAAACCACTTTCATAGTCATTATATCCAAAAACATCTTTCAGAAATGTCTGTGCCTTTGGGAAATCCACCTTGGTGATGTGATCTTCAATTTGTCCAAACTCCTTACCAAGCGCTGGTCTGCGGTAATAAGGAATTTGACTATGATATTTTTCGATAGTAACATCTTTGATGTATGTGGGGTTTGGAAGAGGTCCGACCACGAATTCTTTAACTTCGGGGTTTGTTTCCTTTCCCAAATATACCACAGCCAGTGCTTCTCTTCTAGGCTTTGCCCCACTCTTGTCCAAATACAAAAGAACATCTTGTTTTTTGGGGAGCTGAAGAACAACAGAATAAATGCAGTTGTTGTCAGGGTTAGCTTTGGAGACATCCACTAAGTCAACCTTTAAATTTTTCTTGAGGTAATCCATCACTTCATTGATTTCTTCTGGTGTCAAATCTGCGAAAACCAAACTTTTTTCATTGTGCTTCAGTTGTGAAGAGATCTCTTTTTTAAGCACACAGCGTTTTAATTTTGGCCCCACCAAGAAAAAAGCGACCAAGGCTACAATTGTGCCAACAGCAACAAGAAACGCCGTTAATGTGATACTTTTTATATTCATGGTTAAAGTTCAGAATGCATCCATGCACTGTCCCAGTACTGTGTTTTGAAGGACCCAGGCTGATTAAGAAAGAATGTTGCGTATCCTCAGTCTTTTTAACTGCTGGATCCAAAAACTTTTAAAAGGGGGAGGGATAATGATTTGTGTGTGTGGTGGTAGGGTTGGGGGAGGGAGTAGGTTGATATCCTATACTTTGAACAGTTAACCATTTCAATTACAGAAGGCAAATCACGTAGCAAAAATATATGGCTATCCAATAGTAGTAAAATAATATAGCACTATGTCATAAGTTTCAGCAGTTGGGATGGGTATAGGACAAGGGAAAACGAAATATTAAAGGATATATTACAGTTAAATAATACTTATGTGAGTCATAAGGAAGTTAGTAGGAAGGATAAAAAGAAATTGCATGGAGCATTACATAGAATTATAATAACACAAATTAAAATAAGAAGATAACTATACTGAAAACAGGGGTCAAGTCCTGGGGAAAAAAGTGTGGGAACTCACCCAAGATTCCTGCCCCCCCCCCAAAAAAAATCATTTACACTCCTATGCATATAGTGCAGTGCAGGGTGTGTATAATGATGTAGTGTGTTTGTAGTGAATGCAGAGTGTGTATAATGAATGTAGTGTGTTTGTAGTGAGTGCAGAGTATGAATAATGAATGTAGTGTGTTTGTAGTGAATGCAGAGTGTGTATAATGAATGCAGTGTGTTTGTAGTGAGTGCAGTGTGAATAATAAATGTACTGTGTTTGTAGTGAATGCAGAGTGTGTATAATAAATGTAGTGTGTGCATAATGAATGCAGAGTGTGTATAGTGAATGTAGTGAGTGCAGAGTGTGTATAGTGAATGTAGTGTGTTTGTAGTGAGTGCAGAGTGTGTATAATGAATGCAGTGTGTGTAGTGAGTGCAGAGTGTGTATAATGAATGTAGTGTGTTTGTAGTAATTGCAGATTGTGTATAATGAATGCAGTGTGTATAATGAATGTAGTGTGTTTGTAGTGAATGCAGAGTGTGTATAATGAATGTAGTGTGTTTGTAGTGAGTGCAGAGTATGAATAATGAATGAGGTGTGTTTGTAGTGAATGCAGAGTGTGTATAATGAATGTAGTGTGTTTGTAGTGAGTGCAGAGTATGAATAATGAATGAGGTGTGTTTGTAGTGAATGCAGAGTGTGTATAATGAATGTAGTGTGTTTGTAGTGAGTGCAGTGTGAATAATAAATGTACTGTGTTTGTAGTGAATGCAGAGTGTGTATGATAAATGTATTGTGTTTGTAGTGAATGCAGAGTGTGTATAATGAATGTAGTGTGTGCATAATGAATGCAGAGTGTGTATAGTGAATGTAGTGAGTGCAAAGTGTGTATAGTGAATGTAGTGAGTGCAGAGTGTGTATAGTGAATGTAGTGTGTTTGTAGTGAGTGCAGAGTGTGTATAGTGAATGTAGTGTGTTTGTAGTGAGTGCAGAGTGTGTATAATGAATGCAGTGTGTGTAGTGAGTGCAGAGTGTGTATAATGAATGTAGTGTGTTTGTAGTAATTGTAGATTGTGTATAATGAATGCAGTGTGTATAGTGTGTAGTGAGTGCAGAGTGTGTATAGTGAATGTAGTGAGTGCAGTGTGTATAGTGAATGTAGTGTGTTTGTAGTGAGTGCAGATTGTGTATAATGAATGCAGTGTGTGTAGTGAATGTAGTGTGTTTGTAGTGAGTACAGATTGTGTATAGTGAATGTAGTGAGTGCAGAGTGTGTATAGTGAATGCAGTGTGTGTAGTGAGTGCAGAGTGCAGGGCTGAGTGAGTGCAGAGTGTCATGGGCCTGACGGTCCTGGGGGCCCGGACTGCTCATTTGTGCACATATAGATAGTGATTATAGCTATCTATATGTTCACCTGCGGGGGCAGACTCGGGGGCGGGTCCAGGGGGCCCACACTTTGAACTGTGTCAGGGGCCCCAAAATTTCTGATGGCAGCCTTGGCAGAGTGTGTACAATTAATGCAGTGTGTGCATAATGAATGCAGAGTGTGTATAGTGAATGTAGTGAGTGCAAAGTGTGTATAGTGAATGTAGTGTGTTTGTAGTGAGTGCAGAGTGTGTAGAATGAATGCAGTGTGTGTAGTGAGTGCAGAGTGTGTATAATGAATGTAGTGTGTTTGTAGTAAGTGCAGATTGTGTGTAATGAATGCAGTGTGTGTGTGCTGGAAGATGCGTGTGTGCTGGAAGGTGTGTGTGTGTGTGTGCTGGAAAATGTGTGTGTGCTGGAAAATGTGTGTGTGCTGGATGATGTGTGTGTGCTGGATGATGTGTGCTGGATGATAGGAGGGGAAGCATTTTTTTTTTAAATTTATGTGTTTATATATATTTTTTTTTTTATTCCCCCTTCCCTGCTTCTTACCTTGCCAGGGAGGGGGGAGATCGCCTGGTGGTCCGGTGGTATGGTGGAGAGAGCCAGCCGGTGCACACGGGGGTCCAACACACTCTGTGTTCCCTCTCCCGGCCCTTTGTATATCTCATTCTTCATACCACAACCTTTGTGTTTCTCTTAGTTCCTCATCAGCCCCTTTGTGTGTCTCTTTTCTCCTCACAGCCCTTTTGTGTCTCTTTCTTCCCCCCAGCCCCTCTGTGTGTCTCTTTCTTTCCCCCAGCCACTTTCTGTGTCTCTTTCTCCCTCCACGAGCCCCTTTGCCTGGCTTTTTCCTCCCAAACACAACAGACATAGATATACAGGTACAAATACATACATGCATAAAGGCACAACCATACAGGCACATAGTCATAAAAGGTACACAAACAAACACAGTCATACAAGCAACCAGTCATGCACAGACAGTCATACAGAGACACACAGACGGTCATACAGAGACACACAGACAGTCATACAGAGACACGCAGACAGTCATACAGAGACATGAAGACACAGGCATACAGAGACATGAAGACACAGTCATACAGTGACATAAAGATAAAGTCATACAGAACAAGGCATACAGACACAGTTAGACAGATAAATATGGACACAGTCATACAGAGATTTACACACAGTCATACAGAGACAAACAGACGAAAGTCATACAGAGACATACATAAACAGACATATACTGCTAGTGATGAGAGGAGGAGAGGGATGGCTGCTAGTGATAGGGGGAGATAAGGGATGGCTGCTAGGGATGGGAGGGATAGAGGGGGATGGCTGCATGTGATGGGAGGGAGAGAGGATGATAGCTGCTAGTAACAGAGAGAGGAGGATTGCTGTTTGTGATAGGGGTGAGAGTAATGGTGGGTAGTGATGGGGAGAATGTGTCGCTGCTAGTGATGGGGGAGAAGGGGATGGCTGCTGGTGATAGGGGTGAGTGAAGGATGGCTGCTAGTGATGGGGAGATTGGATGGCTGCTAGTGATGGGGGAGAAGGGGATGGCTGCTAGTGATAGGGGTGAGTGAAGGATGGCTGCTAGTGATGGGGAGATTGGATGGCTGCTAGTGATGGGGGAGAAGGGGATGGCTGCTAGTGATAGGGGTGAGTGAAGGATGGCTGCTAGTGATAGGGGTGAGTGAAGGATGGCTGCTAGTGATGGGGAGATTGGATGGCTGCTAGTGATGGGGGGAGTGGAAGCATCAGAAGAATAGAAGTGAGGTGGCACTGTTGGACCAATAAAACACAGAGCTCCACATGAACTATAAGATTTAGCTCTGTGGAGCTCTGTGCTAGATACATAATTATATCATGAAAAAATAAATAAAACATGGCTGCTTACCATTGGTGGTGTAAGTAGCTGAAAAGAGATGCTCTTAGCTCTCCCTGCTCGGTAATCCTCTAGCAGGGTCTGACAGGAAGTGATGTAAAATGCCCCGCCCACTGCAGTCTTCACTCCTCAGTAAACTACCGCGGGGGAGAGTAGTGTGAGCAGGCACATCTCCTGCATCGTGACAGCCATTATACCACCAACAGCAGACAGTGCATTGTGGGCGGCAGTATGCTGGGGACTGTGAGAAATGAGGCAGCACAGCGACGTTGCTCCCCCTGTGAACACCTGTCCTGCAGGATCACTAGCGGGAACGGCGTTCCTGCTTTGGAAAAAGTGCAGGAACGCCGTTCCCATGCGTTCCTGCAGGACTCGAGCCCTGGAGCTACCCATCTTAAAACTTGTAAGGGTTAATTACTTCCTTACATAAGACAAACTGTACAAAACATTGTATAAGACACTTAGGACCACTGCAGTGGAATTCTCACAATTTTGTCTTTGTTATTCTAAACACAGATCATGAGATCTGCCTTTGGGGGATTCTAACTTGAATTATAAAACAAATTACAAGGCAAACAATAAAAATGACTTAAGACCCACATATATATTTCACTATCTCAAGATTATTTTCACAAGACATAACACAACATCCACCTGAATATAATCATAATATCACAGAAAACAAGTTATTTAGATCAGACATTTTTAAAATCCCTACCCACTTGGACAGGGGCCTGAAAGAGCACCAGAGAGTGAATCAATTAAAGGTAGAAACATAAAAGCTTTTCCTCACGTGCTGCATCTGTCTGATTAACTGTCTCTTGGGCTCTGAGCCACCCCTTTCTGGGTCTGGATGGACTGGATTCGTCTGATCCCCGGCAAGGCACCAATTGAAATAGATCCAATGTGATCTGTGTTATATTCAAGGGAGACCAAATTGTTATTTCAAGTGCACTTGAAGGAGTGTGAATTCAGACACCAAACACCTGTTGATAATCAAAATAAGCCTCTGTCTTTTATTTTTCAGTATGTGTTTTTATACATAAAAAGTAAGTGCTTACGTGCAAATACTCATAGGACACTGGTAGGAAGAGAGTTAAAAGGTACAGATAAGACATAGGGATGAAAGTCATGTACATATAAAAGATAAGTTCTGAGAAAGAACAGACTGATTTAGGAGAGACAGCTCAGGTGGGGGCTATCTGCTCCCGGAACTAGACATATATAGTCTTAAGTGTCGTTTTAAGTATTAAGCATTTCCTGTCTATTATGATACCCATAAGCTTGAACCTTGGAATCAAAGTACATTCTTTCACAGTGGCTACTACAAAAGACTGGAAATATCCCATTTGGAATACCCTGGGTTGTCTACATTTGAAAATGGTATGCCATGATGGGGTTATTTCACATTCCTGGGCTACCATGTGGTCTCAAAAGGCAACACAGACCCAGCAAACCAATCTGGCAAACTGAATTGGGCAAGCCCTAGATTTAGCATGTACCTTTTCAAAACACCATAAAACCTGTACATGGGTGGTATTGTTACTTCGCTGAACACAAATCTGAGTGTTTAAAACAGTAAAACGTCACAACACGAAGGACACGAGTCATAACAAAAGAATACGAAATGTAAGGGACCTGCGTGTCCGACAACATTGTGGGTCTGCGAGCCC